TAGGCCAAACAAGAGAGGTAAAAAAAACGATTTGTAGGACGATTTTAAAAAGCAAATTATGTATTCAGTTCATTTAAGTTACGTTCGAGGGAGTTCTGACAAATAATACTTTGCTTTTGGTATCCTTCCTTGCTTTTTTGTTGTTGATAAGGTGAATGAAAACGCTGTTGTTATTTAATTTTTAATTTGTATTTATAACGGTCTAAAAACACTAAAATTAATTAAACTATTGAAGCTTGTACAAACTTTAAAAAATTAAATTTTCTCGCTTAATATGAATTTTCGATAACTTATTTATGGTCGTAAAAAGCTGTGCTCTGATTTTTATTCATTTTTATCCGCCACCCCACGAAGTGTCAAATACTTTGAAAAACTAAATTCGAGTAAAAAAGTAAATAATTAATTTGTAAACCGACATGAAAGTGAATGGGAAAAAATAAAATGGTTGCCAAAACAAAGCAAAACAAATATTGTGGCGCCGATAAAATCGAATACATGCGAAAATGTTGAGGTTTAATTCCTGTTAATTATAGATGATTTTATCAGCAGAGTAAGTCATTTAGCAAATCATTTATTTATCAGATGCTTTGCTATTGCTGAAAACATAATATAAAATTTCCGCAACTGCTTTAAAAACAATATTGTGTGTGCTCACCGTTTCGGATTCTATAAAACGAATTCCGATGGTAGGAAATATATTTTTGTACCATACACAACGACCAATAGTAGAAAGTCGATGCGAACTAATAATTTTTCTTGTGCCAGCTCGAAACCATTTACTTTCGAGACACAGGAACTGCATCCATTACATGCAATTGTATTTCGTTTTCGATGCCGAACTCTCATCGCCTCTGTCCTGTAAAACAGCACATATATATATAGAGGAAAGCATTACAACTAAAAACCAAAGTGTGAAAATATTGAATGCCTTGGCAGCAGCAGGATTGCCATTCTCGGTTCCCACCATAAAATACCCATTGTAAATAACCTACGCATCGGCAAGGACCTTCCTCTCCGACTGTTGCTCCTTGCAGATGCTGTTGTTTTTCTAGCTCCTTTCACTTTACACCCAAGGGAATAATTCGCATTATATACATATACATAGGTAGCAATGCATATATGTATGTACATAGAGCTGGAGCGGCAAAAAATACTTCAAGTGTTCGCAATAAATTCCTTTAAAGCTTTTAAGCCACAGCAGAAATGGCTGGCGAAAGGGTGAGCAGTGGGTTAAGAGACCATAGGCAAGGCTCTGGAATTACTTAAAATGCGCTTTTAGGGTTAAGCTTCAGCACCACCTCGCCTGCATCCATCATGGAGTGCTTAGGCACTTAAGCACTCCGGTTAGACCCTCGGGGTCTGAGTTTCAGGGCCATCTTGGAGTGCTGCCTTTTACGGACGCAAGCCAAAGACTTAGGATCATTTATGGGCTTGGTGCAATTTAAGGAGTATACAATATTGGAAACGTCCTAAGTTAGTATTTAGCCTACAGTGCCTAGATGAGCAACTTTAATTATCACGTGTATTTCGTTAAATAACACCCAAAATAAAAAAGAAATTGTTTGGAAGTAGATTCCACTATGAGTTAAGCTACCTTCACTAGTTTTTTTCTTTCCGTAAACCATAATTTGGCAAAGGCAGAAAGCACGCTGTAATTAAAATCAAACATCAATTTTGACTTTGGTTAAATTCCCCACAATCCTATTTAATCCCTTCTCACTTGAGGCACCACATGCATACGACTACCTAATACAATGAAATTTCAACATCCTTGAACGCCGATAGGTGACATTTCTCCACATCACAAGGAACAATAGAAGTCTCAATGCATTTGCTGCCTTTGTGCTTAATTGTAAATATTTTGCCACACACCTGATCCAAATACTTGCATACATATTTGGCCACACTAAAGAAAAAAGCAGAGTAAATTGTGGTGCATATTAGAAGAAAGTTTTTTTAAATGCGCAACTTATCGAAAAAGAATTGTTTAAAAGCTGTTTTTAACTGAGAAACATTAAGTAAAATGTATAATTTTCAATTAAATAATTTAACATAACGAATTGTGCGCTTATAAAGCTAATGTTGCACAATTCTGACAATTCACTAAAAAAATTTCGTTTATTAAAGTATTGATCTTGCCGGGTTTTGCTCAATGGAAACGTATGTATGCGCAAGTGATTGTATGAAACGATGTGGTGTGCTGCTTGGAGGAGTCCGTTCTCCATTGATTTTGGCCCTAGGTGCTAAGATTACACAAATTGCAATTTATTTGTTTGGGCAACTAAAGCCAATGCAGGGAATCGCTTATATATCTGGCCACAGCCCGCCGTCTCCCTCCGAATCTCACGCCTTCCATGTCCTGCACTGATTAATATGTCTTGTGTTTTGTGTGTATTTGCCCTTGTGTTTATGTTTGCATTTAACTGGCAAACTGGATTGAAATCGCTTCGAAGGGCCGAGCACCGCCCACTGCTCGCCGGGCTGCTCACCTTTCGGGAAGACCGACCGGATCCGGATTGTGATATGCATGACCTAGACAAATATTGTGCGTTTGCAAGCACTTTGTCATTGGAGCTGCTGCTGTCCCACCAGCACAGCTAGCCGGCACCAATGGACACATTTGTTATTTTGAAATATTTTGTTGATTTTGCCCGAGAAGAGTTTGCAGCAGGGACTCGCATTTGAGGTTTTCATTTGGCTAAAAGGGGGGACTGCACAGCCCATTTCTCATTTCCCTTCTTTCTTCGCCGCAGTGAGTGACACACTAATTGTCCTGCTTGTTGTGCCACCGAGATGCATTCACCATTTGCAATTGGTTTAACCGGGCGTTTGAGAGATTTAATATTGAATTATGGCTTTTGATTTATTTCACATTCACAATCTGTAATGGATTTATGTCGCCCTATTTCTTCTCTACGTGTCTCTATTTCCCTGATTGCCAAAAAGGGCACAGAAAAAGAATGTTAACGTAAACGCCGAAGCAATTGCAGCACATTTGCCGGACGGCACTTTGCCAAGAAAACTAAACTTTGCCCAGTTCTTGGCGAAGTCACCGAAATTACTTCTCTGGGTGTGAACAAAATGCAAATATTACACAGCTCATTAAGCCCGAATTGGATTTAGGCATCCACGATTTTTGCTCCTCAGAAATCTTGGCATCGCCAATTTTTTCAGCAAACTCTAGCGTAATTGGAAATGTCCTTAATGCTTAAGTTAATATTATGACTTTAACTTTAAATACTGATTTAACATTCTTTTTATTCTGTTGTGCTTGGATATGAAAGGAAAATGTACTTATATACATACCTCATAAATTAATGGGTTAACTACAGTTAATTATTTATTGTTGGATATATGCAAGATGCATATGGCAAGACATTCCGTTGAGGAAGAATGCCTTCATAATTTAAGTTATAACGCTGTGCTTAAGGATTAAATTTGAAAATAACTTCTAAGTTACATAATTGAATCTAAAGAAGCACTGATCCAGGTACTAGCTACACAAATCCCTATTCAATTGGCTTACTATTTTAGCCAGGTTTCCGAGGTCACTCATTGCGGCCTCTAGGTAATTTATAATGCCCGACTCCAATGTTAATTTACGTTTAATGAATTTTAATTTGGCCCTTCCTAGTCCCAAAACCACAAAGTGGCCGCGCTGCCACCCAACAAAATTGACAAATTACGTTCGGTTCGCAGAGTCCCTTCTCTAAAGTGACGGGGAAAAATGGAGTTTGGCCAGAGCACAGGACATTTTCGTCCTTCGTGTCCTGGGCCTTTTCAGTCCCACTTATTTTGTCACTGCCGCTGTTGTTTGTTATATTCTATTCCATTTCATTTTACTTTTTTCTTTAGTACGCTCGAAAGGTCGAAAATCGCGTTCCCTGTGTTTGTGTTTGCCTAATCAAAAATTTCAAACACGTTTTATATTGGCAACGCAAAAGTCATTTATTCAATTTGCAAACCAGTTTTACGTTGCGTAATCTAATCAAAAAGGTTGCGACTCAACTCGACTTTACTACAGCGATGAACTGGGTCTACAAATGTATATGGCTCTATACGAAAGCCACTATATGGAGATTCTTTGGGCGCCTGCCAAAATGAAAGCAATGGGCAAACAGTTCGAATGCTGAAAACTAAATATTGTCAAAGGGCTGACGTCATGGAAAACATTAGGGTATAGCAAATTTCCATTGGAGAAAATATATATAAAAGAAAGTGATTTAAAATCATTATGCAATTAGGTTTTGGGACACCATTCCTAAATTGAAGTAGGAAACATTTTGTTATTTATATATTATAAAACGTAGCCGAAACTTAAAAAAACTTCTAAACAACAAAATTATACCTAATTATAATAACAGATTTACTTAACAAATTAACGTTGTATATATATAACGTACTATATTTATAGTACATATTAACATATTTTCAGTACTCCTAGTAAATTGCCTATTTATTTTAAGGAAACTAAAGATTTGCTAAAGATTTTCAAATGTGGTGTTTGTTAAGACGTCGGTCAGTTTGGTGTGTCCCATGATGATGATTTTAGAAAGGACTCGTTTTTGTATGGTCGATGTTTGCTCACTTTTACCATACTGGTAAATGCTCAACTTTCCTGGGATTTCCAGTTGTAACAGTAGATAAGATCACTGAATTGAAAAATGTATTACTAAAATAATTTTTATGAAAAGGCGCAAGAAAAAAGTCTGCGGACTTATTTTAAAAAAGAACCCATGAAAAACAACTATGACACATTAGGAAAAATGTACTCTCATTTAATAATAATAATTAAATAATAAGTTTCATGGAAACCCTCCTTCCACCTAAAAGATTGCAAGTGCACATAAAGGCTTATCACATTTATTAAGAATTGCAACATGCATTAACTTTAATTCTCTCTTGATCAGCAGATAAGCTGCAGTTTCCCTCGACAAATAGGTATAAATACGCTCACATTTCCAGCCAAAGTCACAGTGTCTTCCAGCCTCTAAAGCCAAGCTAAAGATGTCTCCTAAATTCGCACTTGCAATCCTGCTCCTCAGCTGCGTTTTCCTAGGAATGGCCAATGCCCAGCTAAACAGGGTCCATCGGAAGAGTGTGCTTTATCCCGTCAGTACTAAATATTGCTATTGATTGGGCAAATATTTTAATCAACTTTTTATAATCATAACTAGGCGCGCCCTAGGATGAATGGGGAAAACCCTTTGCCGCCAAATTTCCCACCTGAGACTCCTGAAAGCAGTGGTGGTTTGACAACCGTGGACTGCACGCCCAATCTTCTGGCCAGTAACATCCGGGATACCAGGAAACCTAAGCCCAAGCTATAGTTGGAAATCGCTGATGGAGTCAAGAATAATTGAATTCAAATGATAAATTGAATTTTATATGAATCCTAAAGTATGCATTTATATTCGAAAATAAACGGATTGATAGAAAATGAAAATCCCAAAGAGGCTTTACAAATTTCGAAAATGGTAGTTAGTTAAACAAATTGTTTGAAGGTGGTCACATTTGATTCTCTGCATCTAAACAATATCCATTCAACGAGGTCCTTAAAAGCATATCATAGGCCTTGAAACTGTAACGGTCAAGAATCTTTTCTTGTTTGACGCCCAAGTATTTCGCCATATTCACTTTAAAAGCCGCTTCGAATGGCTTAAGAAATTCCCTTTACCACGACTCCGATTAATCGAAAATTTCTGGCCGGAAAACGTGTGAGTGCACATGGTGGCAACTGTCTGGAATGAACAAGTTGCTAGCCCAGGGACAGAAATCGGTGGATCGGGGGATTCCCGGGCTTCGAGCAGACGGACGTTGGCCGATTAGTGCTGCGAACATGAAAAACAGATATGCTAACGTGGCAAACAGCCGCAACCATCGGAGGTAGACCTGCCACGCCCACCGGCGTTCAGTACTGAGCCAATAAAGTGTTTAACATTTTCGTCCGTACATTTTAATGGGGAAATGAAACAATTTCGGTGCCAGCGACGGGTGAGGGGTGTGCCGTGGGCGGTGGGCGGTGGGCGGTGGAGGGGCGTGGCGCACAGCGGAATCCACGCCTATATGCAGATTAGGCGTGCATTTAACAATTTTACACTGCAGCGTCAAATCAAATGCCGAATTCCACGATCAAAAGGAAACTTGCTCGGAAGGCGACAAGCAAATTAGTCGTCACCATTTTGCGGCAGGCAACACGAACAATAGGAAACCACAAGCACTAAAGAAAGCAAATCTTATATTTTAGAATTTCCGAAAATTGTAGAATTCATTTTACTTAAATATTCTTATGACTATGACAAACATTAATTGGCTTAAAATCTGTCCTTGGTTTTTCCTGCCAGCATATTAAACGATCCACAGCTGCCACAACCACCTGATGATGACGAAAAAGATCCACCAAAATTTGAAGAAAAGTCCTCTCCAAATTCATATTTGCCAGAAATTACCGGACCACTTCCGGCCATTGAGCGGCTGTTTGTACGGCTTGTCTTTATCTACAGATAGTAAAGCTAGATTAAAATAATAATGTTGAGAGGTATGCTTACCTTCGGTATTTGAGGAAACCTTTGTCTAATTTGAAAAGGAGAGGCACTTTCGATTCCTAGGAGAAGAGTGCACAAAAGTAAAACAACAAGTCCAAGCTGAGGTGACATCTTAAGCTTAACAAGAGTGTTTTGAGGAAACTGATATCGGCACCGAAACTGTCGTCCCATTTATATAAATTTCAAAAGGCTTATCAGCAGGAGATGAAGAGCCTACAAAATTCCATTGGACTGAACTTTACTTTACTTACTTTTTACTCATGAACTTTACTGATTTCTTTGAACTTTACATTATTGGCGTTCAATGTTGACTGGCTCATGCTTTTCGTGGAAGCATTGCTTCCACTTAAAACCTATTATACTATTTATTAAGAATTGCAAGATGCATTAACTTTAATTCTCTCTTGATCAGCACATAAGCTGGGGTTTCCCTCGACAAATAGGTATAAATACGCTCAGATTTCCAGCCAAAGTCACAGTGTCTTCCAGCCTCTCAAGCCAAGCTAAAGATGTCTCTTAAATTCGCACTTGCAATCCTGCTACTCAGCTGCGTTCTCCTAGGAATAGCCAATGCCCAGCTAAACAGGAGCCACCTGAAGTCTGTGCGTTATCCAGTCAGTACTAAACATTGCTATTGATTGGGAAAATATTTTAATCAACATTTTTAATCATAACTAGACGCGGACTCGGATGAATGGGGAAAACCCTTTGCCGCCAAATTTCCCACCCTCGGCTGATATTCCTGAAAGCAGTGGTGGTTTGACCACCGTGGATTGCACGCCCAATCTTCTGGCCAGTAACATCCGGGATACCAGGAAACCTAAGTCCAAGCAATAGTTTTTAAACTAAAAAAATTTTACCGCTGAACCGAAGGGAAATACTGCGCAGATAGGGTCCACTATAATTGATTTTAAATGATAAATGGATTTTTATATGAAACATATTCGAATTTATTTATATTCGAAAATAAACATTAGAGCGACATTAAATTTTCTGCATAAAAAAACAAGAGTAATTTCTTCGACTAACAGATATCCGCTAATGAGAGTGCTAAAAGATTATTGAAAAATGTAGATAGACTTAGGCAAAGAAAAGACAAAAAAGTACATTTTTAAGATTGTGGGTTTTATACCTTTTTGGGTCTTGTGGGCGTTGTCAAAATATTTTTGGAATATCGATAGAAACAGGCAAATCAAATAATAAAATGGAAGAAAGAAAGTGGGCGTGACATGTTTTCGGCATATCAATAGAATAGATTACAATAGAAACACAAATACTAAAATGGAAAAAAACAAGATACCGTTAGTGATACTAGTGATAGAAATTTCAACTACATTTTTGGTAAATCGATAGAAATTGGCAAAAAAAAAATAAAATTAAAAATTTTCTTAGTGGCAGGTAACGCCGTTTTGTTGGCGTTGCAAGTGGGCGAGGCAAGATCTTTAACAAACTCTAGAACACTTGAGTTCTAGAAACGCCAAGCCTAAGCCTAACTTTCAAGCTTTTATAGTTCCGGAGATCTCGACGGTAATACGAACAGACAGATGGACAAGCTAGGTCGAACGAGATTCTGGCCAAAAATGTATATATACTTTATTTGGTAATATATCCTTTGCGAGTATCGGGTATAAATATTTATACAACATAGTTTTACAATATAAGTTCCTTACGAAAAAATACATAAATGGAAGCTAGCTTCAACATTACCTTTGCAGTAACTTGAACTATTTCTTCCACTTGTCCGACTCTTCTTTCTTTTTTTGTCTTATGTTATATATAATATTACATGTTTTTCAAATACCGATAGAAATTGGCAGATCTAATTATAAAACGAAAAAATATCAAACCTTATTTTAAAAAGAATGTGCTTAAGGGATGAGTTGGCCTAAGCTTCTGCTATGTTCCAAAAGTTGTTAGATGGAGTAAGATGGCCCAGTAAGCATATATAAATCGGCTTGCCGGTTGGCCGACACGTTGGGCATCATAATCTCCTTTTCTGCGCAATCTTTTATATCTGCAAAAAAATATTTTGCGGCGTCACTGAGATGGCGAGCCCCTACTAATTTTAAGCGATAAACTAGCTACAAGTCTTCATTTTAGGGATTTCTACTTTCCAAATTTCTTCCATTTTTTATAAAATATCCTTAGAATATACTCTGCATTTTCTGTTTATGAAGGACTTAACTATGGTACTGAACATTTTTCTCTAGACAACATTTTGAACACTAAGGACGGACTCTTATTACCTTTGCGCTTGTTTATTTTGCCTGTTTTTCTTATAAGAAAAATAAATTAATAAGCCTCTGAAAGAAAAATAAAATCCCAAAATAAGCTTTCAAATTTCCGAACATTTTACTCTACATCGTCAAACGCCGAATTCTACACTCAAAGGGAAACTTAATCGTAAGGCGACGAGAAAATTCTTGGATACCATATTGCATGGACATTTTTGGCTACACGAAAAATAGCTGGCACTAAAGGAAGTAAATCTTATATTTAGAATTTCCGAAAATTTTAGAATTCATTTTATTTAAATATTTTAATGATGTTGTCTTTATGATTTAGAATCTGCACTTGATTATTCCTGTCCGCCTATTAAACGATCCACAGCTTCTACAACCACCTGATGACGAAAAAGATCCACCAAAATTTGAAGAAAGGTTCTCTCCAGAAGTTACCGGACCATCTCCGTTCCTTTCCGGCATTGAGCGGCCGTTTGACCGGCTTATCTTTATTTACAGATAGTACAGCTAGATTAAAATAATAACTTTGAGATATTTATGCTTACTATCGGTATTTCAGGGAACCTTTGTCTAAATTTATTAGCAGAGGCAATTTCGATTCCTTGGAGAAGAGTGCACAAAAGTAAAACCACAAGTCCAAGCTGAGGTGACATCTTAAGCTTAACAAGAGTGTTTTGAGGAAACTGATATAGGCACCGATACTGTCGTCCCATTTATGTAAATTTCAAAAGGCTTATCAGCAGGAGATGAAGAGCCTACAAAATTCCATTGGACTGAACTTTACTTTACTTACTTTTTACTCATGAACTTTACTGATTTCTTTGAACTTTACATTATTGGCGTTCAATGTTGACTGGCTCATGCTTTTCGTGGAAGCATTGCTTCCACTTAAAACCTATTATACTATTTATTAAGAATTGCAAGATGCATTAACTTTAATTCTCTGTTGATCAGCAGATAAGCGAAACCCCAGCTTGACAAATAGGTATAAATACGCTCAGATTTCCAGCCAAAGTCACAGTGTCTTCCAGCCTCTCAAGCCAAGCTAAAGATGTCTCCTAAATTCGCACTTGCAATCCTGCTCCTCAGCTGCGTTCTCCTAGGAATGGCCAATGCCCAGCTAAACAGGGGCCATCGGAAGACTGTGCTTTATCCCGTCAGTACTAAATATTGCTATTGATTGGGAAAATATTTTAATCAACTTTTTATAATCATAACTAGGCGCGCCCTAGGATGAATGGGGAAAACCCTTTGCCGCCAAATTTCCCACCTGAGACTCCTGAAAGCAGTGGTGGTTTGACCACCGTGGATTGCACGCCCAATCTTCTGGCTAGTAACATCCGGGACACCAGGAAACCTAAGCCCAAGCTTTAGTTGGAAATCGCTGATGGAGTCTTGAATTGAATTTTATATGAATCCTAAAGAATGCGAAAATTCGAAAATAAACGGATTGATAGAAAATTAAAATCCCAAACAGGTCTTACAAATTTCTGAAATGGTAGTTAGTTAAACAAATTGTTTGAAGGTGGCCACGTTTGATTC